ATTCCTACTCGTGTTGGCAAAAACCTGCATGGCCTCCATCACGTCGGAATTTAGCGACCTGGAATCCAAGTTCAAGTATTTCAAACGTGTCAAAGCTCCCTTCACCATATCCGCGGAGTCCTTCAAGACAAAGGGCCCCCCCACCCTCGAAAATCTTGTACGCAAGCTCATTCCCGTGCTCCTCCACGCGGCGTTTGTATTCACCGCTAAACTTTCGTACACCAACCACGGGCAGGAAAAAGGCGAGGTTTCGGCCAGAGCTGCACCACTTCCTCGACTTGTCACGCAGCAACGTTTGGTGCAAGACCTCAACTGCACATTGATTAGGATAAACAGTGAGGGATCCCAGGGAGTTGGCAAACCAGAATTTTGCAATTGCAGAAATTGAACTTGTGACAGACTCCTCCTCTGCCTGGATATAGCCCAATTTCTTCAAGAGCTCTTTCGCAGCATGATGCATGGATTCAAGGTCTTCCCCACTTGGAACCACTAAGCCCTTTGGTATGCGTTGAACTGTTCCGCGTCCATCTGGATGAAGGATGGCACGAACTTTGTAGGCAAATTTGGACGCCTCAAGCAGAAACACTTCAGCACCAGTGGCCTTGTAAACTTCGGCTGTACCCTGAGAGGTGGCAGGAATGAGAACCAGTACCTCAAGGTGAAACTCGGACCCTCAGGTGCTTTACCTATGCACGCGAGTATGCCAAAAAAACTTAAAACATTTAGTGACATTATACACACAAGGAAAATTAATGATAGTCAACACTTTCATGCAAACTCATGATATAGAATCATTTTTGCTGCGCCCATTCATCTGAAAGTCAGCCTTCTTGGCTGCAAGAATATCACTCACCATATTTGCGAAACCTCTGTCGCGGGTTAATAAGGCAATAGAGGAGACAGGTGTTGATGATGCCAGGCACTTTAATTCCATCAGTATCGCTTCATCGGACGGTTCGCCGTAGCGACTCCGGTGTACTTCGCGCAGTTCGACATGATGGCGCTTGATCAATCGCTGCCATTCTCGATTGGTCCGACTTCGAGGTGCGGCGAAGAGAAGCGTTTTCACTTGGCCATCGTGGTAGGTGTCGTCCAAATCCTTTAAGAGGTCAATAGCCTCGTAGGTAGTGGCAACTCCTATGGCATCTCCATCAACCAGCAATGCGGTGCATCCGTCTCGTCTTCCACAAGGACGATATCTTCGCAAGGGACCCTGGAAACAGAAGCTCCGGAAAGAGTGAAGCGCTGGGAGAACACCATGTGAACAACATTTGGACAGGAGAGACATGGCAAAGCGATGAGCAGCGTCTGTTGGGCCCAAACTAGCTTCATTCAATTGCGCATATTTCAAGCATCGTTGGTCCAGCCTTGTCTATTTGCCAATCTATATGCTCCCATGCAACTATGTCTGAAGGTTATGAAGCTTGAAAGGCGCGGCTAACCCCCCCAAAAATATAACATCACAACAAATTGAATGCGCCCTTTTCAAACAGCATGTGCGCATGGTTGCTGTAAAACCTTCGTCTCATGATTCATGATAACTGAATTTTGACCAGGCCTGGATGCGTTCCAAACATTCGCCCTTCAGTCTACAAACCGCCAAGTCTGAACCCTAACCGAATGGTCAGCAAGAAAAACCGATTCGAGAGAGCATGATTGCGACAATTCATCACCGGCTTGGTCACCAGCACACAACAAACATGCATAAACATAGGGCATGCGTAGGTAACATGCGGTACGATATAGTTCCCGTTCACGACTACCACAGGACCCAACAACATCCACTGTGGCCTTTGCTCTCTGATCTGTGTGTTCACATGCCAAAGGCCGCGACGATACGCCTCACCCAAACTACTAAGAAGCAACCCAAAAACAGAGCCAAGAAGCTGAACATGTTGAACACTGTTGTGGGGGGGGTCGAACCACCGCCAGGGCGGCGAACGGTACATTGAACAAGCGACTCCTGTTCATTCGGCCCAGTGCCGTACACGCCAAGTCATTGGGAAAATCAATGGCCCATGATGACCCATGCCAACATCACGCTTCAAGAACTAAAAGGTATTGACCCACGTTGACCCTATGATGGCAAAGCAGAAGGGTTTGGAAAGCCTCCTCTTTTGGGACGTTGCTTGTGGTCTTCGGGGTAAACTGCAACTCCCGCGCTATTCTTCAAGAATTGAAGGGGCCAGCACGTCATGAGCTTCTCCATTCTGGATCTCTCCAAGCTCGTCAACCTGGAAAGTGGCATCCAATGGTTTTGCTTCCATTGTATAGCATGATGGTGGCCCGATGTTCATCAAATTGATCTATCATGATATATCATGATCTGTCTATACATAAGCTGGCAGCTAAAAGACGGGCATTGAGTTCACCAAACGTCTTATGGCGTTCTATATGGTGTTTTGCTTCTCCCATTTGCTTGGCTATGCGCCTCATATCGAAGGTCTACATCCTCATCTGGCTGTCCAGGTGAAATCTTTTCCGCTAATGCTGCCCACATTCCTTCACTCCATGGATCCTCAGGTCCATGAGCTGTTTTTCACAGCCAGTTTGGCACAAGACGTCAGCCACGGAGCCAGGTCAGACTTTGCCAATTGCAACCGAGTTTCCAACTCTTGCTCCATTCCTCAAAATGAAGAGTGCTAATACAGCAGAGCAACGACACCGTCACTTTGCCCAAACGAAAGCTGAAAGAAAGATTGGTGTAGATTGCTAGTGCGCTCACGGCTAGCTGCTGGACCATTTGACGTCACAACCAGCTGGCGAACCGCCCTATCTGAGTAGCGTGCCAAAGTCATGTTGGTCATCTCCCAAGCCCAATCGAAAGAAAGAAACCGCACCCAAGTTTTGAAGCCTTCCATGGAGCTTTCGTGCCTAAGTTAAAGGTTCTGCAGAGACGAGGCTAGCCATGTAAACTTTCGCTTGTGCATTGACCATTGGCAAGTCACTGCGTAGTTGAACTCGCGATACCGACGGTCGCCCAGCCCAAAGACTGCAAAAGACAATCCCTGCAAAAGCCTAGGGGAAACGCTGAGAGTGGCACCTTTGTCGCATGAGGCGACACAAACCCTCCGCAAATTCAAAACTGTAATCATATTATTAAAACCACGCCAGGCCACGTAGCAGGCAGCGAGGCCTGCAGCAGCTCTTGCCAAAGCTTCCGCATGTTCAGCGGTGGATCGCCTGGCCATCCAACCAAATCGTAAACATTTGGTGGGTCAACGACATGCGCCACGCCTTGGCCGGTCGTGGAAACAATGAAAACTGCTGTTCGGATCTTGCGCAACCTTGGTAGGCAGTCCTGTGGCCAAGCACTCTAAGCTCCACATCCGACATCTGAAAAAAAGAGTTGAACAACTTGCACAGTGCTAGGGTTCCTCCAAGCCAAACATGTCTATTCCAACCACCTTGATCCAGGAACAAACCCTTTGTGACTCTCAACTGCCATGAGCATCACACTCTGCGCAGAAAGGCTAAGCATCGAACTGTTCCAGGCTGATCTCATCCTAGGTGACGAACAACTCCACCCGTGGCAGCACGACTCCGTCCCATTTCGGGGGTTAAACCATACGATAAAGCATAATAAATCACTTGAATGAGTCGTACTTCAGCTTCCTGGCGTTGAAATGGGGCAGCCGAACATGAATCCTTACAGCTCTTGGTGAGTCTTGGCGATTGGTTCATGTGAGTCCAGGCGAAAATACCTCGTTCCATCCTGAAATGTGCTGTGGGTAACCTCATTGCAGAATGCAACCACAACTGTTGACGGTGGTTCATTTCCATCACAGAAAATTTTGAAGCTGCTAGAAGCGCTCAACCAATCGAAAAAGCCAAACGCGCGCGCCCCACGAGGAAAGCTAATGTCTTTCCCGCCGAAGCCCGGGCACCATCGCTCGAGGTTCCATGGCATAGCCCTTTCGGCGCCCTTCTCTGGCCAACTCCCAGGCAGTCTCTTCTGCAGTGCCTCTGGCTTGCGACATGCTGCTGCACTTCACTAGGGCTGGACCACTTCCTCGTAAACATAAGGTGGACCACTTCCTGGTGTGCTCAATCGAGATGGTCACATGGGTCCGTCCAACAAAATCCTGTATTCCAAGCTACAGGCTGTTAAACACATTGCTTCAGAAGGCTCATAAGAACATGTCTGGATTCTCGATTGTGAGCATCGAGGCGTTGAATTGACTTGCACCTGTAGATGCTGCACAGCCCAAAGACGCCCCCCATTCAACATGGCCTGTTTGCGATGCAAAGAAGAGGCCCACGCTGGGCGCAGTGGAGCCGTCCATGGCAGCTGAGTCACCACCCCATGGCGCAAAGGGTTTGCAGCTGGAGACCTTCCGCAACCAAAACATCTACAACTTGACGGCCCTGTATGCTTTGAGAGCCAACATTTAAGGTCTTGGGATGTCTTGGGTCAAGTAGGTGCAATCACACTTTGAGGTATCTGAGCCAACTTGCCCCAAGGCTAGCAAGGTGCATGGCACAAGACTTGCCAACAGGTTCACACTGAAAAGGGTGTTGCTTGAGACATGTCCTGCAGCCCATATGTTCGATCATATGCTTGCATCAAGTTTTTGGACTGGGTTCACTGCAATGATCTTGCGTTGTCCTGCCTTAGCTTCAGAGTGCAGTAGGACGGCTCTGGCAAACTCGGGGTAAACTGTGTACTCTTCTAAGCGAATTCCAACATGTTCATGTGGACACATTCACAGTTCAATCGTTATAAATATATAGTTATCATCTATATACACATGCACTGCCGGTGCTCATGAAGAAATCTGAGAGCTGTGCTGGGGGGGCGTTTGAAGACTCGCTGCTGCTGTTGCACAGACATGGAGCCGTGCAAAGGCAAAATCCAAGCCCGATCACCTCGAACACGGCAGGCGAGTAACGGCTAGAAAACATCTAGAAGATTGAGCATTCTGCTGGCATTGGCACAGTCCCAACCCCCAAAGCCTATTCCTCTTTGCCCTTTCAACTGGCTGATGCAGTTCTCAATCTCAGCATGACCTGTTGGAGCAGAGATGTGAAACAGGTCGCGAGCAAGACACTGTTTGCTAACATCTGTAGCTGCAGTTCAAGCGGTTCGTTGTACATTGGCCTAGGCCGAGCGCCTCACTCCTTGTTTTATCACGCAAGCGGAAGAGAAATGCCCGCGATATGAAGCTGGCATTGAGCCCCTGCAGCATGCCGTGAGCAAGGCAGCATACAAACCTGTGCAACCTGTCAAACAGTCATGTTCAATCGCATGCACAGCATGTGTCAAACATGTCTCTGTCTATGCTTGCTGCTTGGACTAGAGGCTACCTATGGTCTCGTACAGTCTCACAGGCCAGTCAATCAATGCTTGGAGCACTGGAGAATGAGATGCAACCGGGGCCGGGTTTGCCATCTTGTAGCCCACTTGCTGCTGTGACAATGTCATGTGGTTTATGATATGGTTTATGGATTGTACATCTTGCCACATTAGCATTAGAATGCGGAAAGAGCCCAATCAACCCCTCTGGTCCCGATTGCGCTGTACCCTATATATATTCATATGTGCTATGCTACGGCCTTCCCTGCTTCATTACCCTTCACTTCTTCTTGCCAGCGGTCCAGGACCCATTGCCGAGCCCGGAGTTGCGGTCCATTGGAAGCATCATAGAAGGTCGACCCAAGAAAACCGAAGGTCCTGCATAGCGACGGATGAAACCACCCCACTTGCCCTTGAATGTCTTCCCAGTGAGCTGCTTGAAGAGAGCTTTCACATACTGTTTTCGGGCTGAGAGGTTCGCCTCAAGCGTCTTGTTGAAGTTGGCACGTTGCGTCTTCACATCCTTGACAGTTGCCTGTTCAAGGCAGTCCGACTTGAAGAGCTGCTTGGCCAAGGAGTTGCGATCTTCCAAGTTCTTGGGGTTCACCAAGAAGGTGGTGGAGCCATTGGCCAATTTCTCTGTGACAATGACGTTCTTGTTCACAGTGGTGCACACTATGTAGAAGTGATGCGGCTGCTTCCCTTGAGCATCCCCTTCCGCAGCCTCTAGGAAGACCTTGCATTCAACCACCTTCTCCCGGTCTGACAAATCTTGAGAGGTGGCAGCCAAGTTCCAAGTAGGGGCACGGCTGGAATAGACCACTCCCACCTGCTCCTTCCCAAACTTCTCTTGTGTTGTTCGGATTTCCAAGCTGCCAATCTTGTAGATGCGGAAGACGGCTCCATCCTCAGTCTTCTCCTGGAACTCGGGGGGCTGCCGTGGGCAGGATATCATTCGCCAAAGCAGTGGCATGGGCGGCATCAATCTCCACTTTCACCAAGCCTGTCTTGTTGGCGGCTTCGGTTTTGGGAGCACTGCCATCCTTCTCGATTTGAAAGCGGGAGGTCCAGGACCTGGCCATTCTGACATGGACAAACCAAACGACGGTCAATATTACCATAGTTTATTTTACCTGTGTTTGCATCGGTCTTCCAGGACAAGAATTGTGACATTGAATCGGGCATCTGGAGAAAAATTGAGAAACGATGAGAAAGGAGGAAGCAGAGGACGTGAAAGAAGCCGAGTGAGACCCGACCCAGCCTCGGGAAGTCATGCCCTGCATTGCCCACCTTGAAGCTCTTGTCGCAAAAGTGAAGCTTGCGCCTCTCAAGCAAAGACTTCTCCTCATGGATGTGGCTTCTCAATTTGGAGGTGTACTCCATGTTGGGATCTGGAGGGATGAAAGAATCACCTTCTTCAATACGATCACACTGGGGTGAATGGAAGACCTTGACAAGGATCTCCTGGTACTCCGGCTTCAAATCTTCATATTCGCGACTGTTCAAGCTCTGCAGGAAGGCCTTTCCCAAGGTCACCTTGGTCTCCAGGGAGCCCGGCTGTCCACTGCAGGGAGGCATGGATGCAAAGCGGTCCGCCTTGCTCAAATCGAACTTGTCCAAGTTCAGATCCACACCCTGTGGCATCTCAGCCCTCTGACCCAGCTGGAACCTCTGTGGCATGAACATGGGCCGTCCGGACTGACCCAGCTGCATACCCGTTTGACCCTGCAAGGCGTGGCGTTGAGCCAGCTCAAAGCGGTCCAAACCAAACTCCACTCCACCATAGATGGCCTGGAGATTCTTCTGGCCGCCGGTGAACATGTCGATCAAGCGACCATTCTTGAGCTGGATGCGGGAATTGCCACGCATGTTCCACAGCTGCGGGATCTCTGGATGCTCTTCCTTGGGAGTGGCCTTCACAATCTCATCAGCAATGCGGTGCCACTGCGGATCCACGCGAATGTGCGAATCCACCAAGTACTTGGCCATGACGGAAGCCTTGGCCAGCTCTCGAAGATGGAAGACCACACTCTTGCGCTCTGCGATGAGATCAAAGTGTCGGCTGAAGGAATCCGCAAATTTCTTCAAGGGATGATTGGAAGCTGTCACTGGTGCATCCTCAAGACCCTTCTTTGTGACGACCTGCTCCCTGGCCTCCACACCCATTTTCACGAAAGGCACCAAGGTCTTGTCTTGTGCCAGGCGCACTTCGGCCTTCCTCACCACAAACCACTCACGCCCAGCCCATGTTCGGTCCTTGTCGGACAATTCGGACCAATCAAAGACGCTGAGCATCCTGGCCACTGGCATGTCATACTCACCAAGGGCAAGCTCTTTCAAAAAATAGTCAGCTTGGAACATCACATCCCCCACACTGGTTCCAGCAAGCCAGCTGGGTTCGTAGACCTTCTTCTGTGGGGTCTTCTCCAAATTCTGAGGGTCAACTGGGTCCAGTGAGAAAAGCGGCTCCCTTGAGGCCGTCTTCCTCACCTTCAAGGCCAGCAAAAGATACTCCAGATTCACCCCAGCCGCTGGCTCCAATGTTGGTGCCACCTTCACGGTACGAGAGGCTTCATCCAAGACCAAGCAGCAATAGCCGCGCTCGGTGGTCTCACAGCCCAAACGTGCCGCCAAGGGACCATTTTGGGGCACACTATCCATGCGCCAGCCGATATCATATTCCTTTCGGCTTCTCAACTTCTTCTCGTTCTCCCATCCAGCCCGACGGTCCTCCTGTCGCTGGGCATCTTCCACCAAGATTTGAGCCATGCACTCTGCATGCACACAGCTACCTCGGCCCTCCCGGCCTTCATAGGCGAATTCACCCACAGGCATCAAACATCGAGTGCAAAGAGGCACCTCCTCACCATCCGAGTCCATAGAGCTATGTCCTGCGCGACGCTCCCTGCGGGGCTTTGGCGCAGCAAGAGCTGCTTCGATGGCTTCTTTGGGAGTGGTGCGCTTGGCTGCATGATTGACCGCCCAGGGGAAGGACTTGCGGTTGTAGCCCGGATTGCCACCATCGCGGTTCTCTCCAAACTTCTCCAAATACTGCTTGAATGCTTCCTTCTCATGCTCTGACAACTCTTTTTCTTTCACCTCAACTGGCTTCATGTTGGCAGGGCTGACGGCTTCTTCGGTGGCTTCAGCGACTTCTCCTTCACTGGTGGACACTTCCGATTCCTTGATCACCTCCACCATCTTCTCCACCTCAATCTTCTGCTCCTTCGGCTCCATCTTCACAAGCAAATCCTTTCCCTTGAGATTCACCGTGACCCATCCGGTGGCTGGGCCGGAGCCCTCCACCAGTTCATAGCAAAGGCGGCCCTCCTCTCCTCGAAACTCCAATTCTTTGACCTGCGCCCCTGTTGCCAATCGAGTGGCGATGAATGAAGAGTTCAGGTCAGCAGCTTCACGAACAAGAATGCCACCCTTGTCTGCTCCACCGACAACCTCCCACATTGCCATATTGCTTGTTGGATGCGAGAGTAAAAACCGAGTGAACACTTAGCAGTCTCTGCCTGCTTGGGCCACGGCTGCCATGTGGCATGAAAAACTGCACTCAATCAGCGCCAGCGGCAGTTGCAGAAACTGCTCAACACAGATTTCATCATAGTTCTCTCAGCATGCATCAAATTAGTGAAACTTTTTGCCATATCAGCAATATGAGTCAGGGAGGAATAGCCTAATTATACACTTTGATTGATCTTCAGCAGCTCAGTAGAGGCCAAATATGCTCACCCCAGCTAAGATTGTCACCAGGCAGAAAAAACCAGGATGGCACCTCCTGCTCCACCTGCAGCTGAGATTTTTGGCTGTTCACTCATCTCGAATTCCGACAAATGCCAGGTGCATGTTCTGCAGAAAAATCAATGTCCTGACCAAATTGTGTAGCCACGTAGCCAGCTACTTCTACCAGTTCTACCAGTCAAAACCCAAAATAACTCATCACCACCCCTTTCTGTGAACCACCACACCACAGGTTGTCATAGATTCTCCCAAACTCAGAATCACGAATCACCCCTAATTACCAAAGTGCTGGACATAGTCAGGACAACAATAAGTTGCTGCATTCCTTTTGGCCCATAGATTGAAAAGACTGCATGGACAATATGTCAGCAAGTGGCCTCTTTCTTCCTGCCCATCTTCATCTGGCTCATACTTGCCTGGACTCTCGCACCCTCAAAGAATCACAAACACAAACACGCCAATTCACACAGCTGGGCAAGTTGTACAATTCGGGGCTGTGCAAGGGCGCCGGAAAAGAATCCCATCACATTTATGTAACACATCAAGCAGAACCCCCCTTTCATCATGTTCATGCTGTTCACGTGCATCGTTCTTGGTCGAGCTGCCGGTAAGGATGGCAGCACAAAGGTTTGCAATTTGTCGAAGATCGGCACCTGCGAGAGAGACACAGCAGCACGCGCATCTCAGTAGGGGAACAAATTGATCATGTCCAAGATGGATGTGATTTTCGACAACTGTGATTTTGGACAACTGGTAGGAATGGCAGTAAGAAGGTGCATCATATTAGCAATGAAAGTTCAGTTCTATATATATTATATATGTACATACATATGGGACGTATATGTAAAGATACAATTTCAAGGGACATGCATCATGTATGAACGATTCCTGTTGAATTAGTCAAGAAAAGGGAGGATAAAAGGATGACTTTCGCTGTGTGGATTTCTGTCATGCTTTCAATATGTACCGCATGTCCAGCGAATAAAGCCATGAATCCTCACGGCCCAAGCGCAGTGTTCTTGGTGGAAGCGTTGCTCAGTCATGCCAAGTCACTGCTCTGCACGGCTGGTGAAATTCGAATCTCCTGGCAGCACATCAGCAAACCCACAGTGGCTTAACCATCAAAAAGCAACGCATTTTCCCCAACTGTGCGCAAATCTTTCCCAATGTGCATCCTAGTATATTTATATGGTATTAATATATATATATATCAATTTACTCCGTTGATTCCACCCCTTTATATAACCCGTGCTCCCAACTTCATCTAGTTTTCTTTACTTATGCTGAACATATCTGAACATCTTAGCATAGTTTCTTGTCGGTGAGAGTTCAGCTGGCCTGTATGCCCAATGCATCGCTCATCAACAAACCCTGCTGCGATTTGGCGCAACTCTTCGCACTTCTTGCCTTAGCACCCCTGCCATATTGTCGCTTCACCTGCCAAATTAAGGATGAGCTTCAACGCTTGACTTCGGAACAAATGCATTCGTTGGTAGGGATGGATTTGCCAGGTAAAGCGCTGATCTTTGTGAAAGCTGAACTCTCATGCAATGTGTTCTGTTTCGCAGGGGGGCGCAACTCTAAAATTCCTTCGGTCAGTTCAACAGGGCAAAGCAGTCTGCCACCACATTTATATAAGCCAAGCTAAAGTCAACACAATTCCGGATGAAGTCCTGAAAAGCACACCCACAAGTATGGAGTTCTTTTCTGGAGGCAAGAGATCCTTTCACAAGGGATGACGCATGCTGCAGTAGATGTTGACCAAACGTTTCGTGCTTGCTCCCTTCTGGCAATGAATCCTTGAATACACCTTTCCCAGACCTCAATCTCGGTCCAAATCAATTCAATATTACGCAATGCCCCTTAAAGACCTCTTCAAAAGATTCAAAGCATCACTCAATCCTGCAAATGTACTTGGCTACAGGATGCATGGATTAGTAAGTCAGCCATTACTACAAAATCACTCCTACCTGAACTCCATCTGCATTTGTACATATTGTCTCCCTCTGTTGTTTCCCTCTTTTCAGGTATGTTAAAATCTTGGCAAGTTCTCTTTCGGCAGTGTAAATATCACCTGAAATTGCATTTGCATGTGTTTATGGAAATGCTGCAGTGTCCTTTCACAGTAGTCAATCCACTTCAATAGTGTTGTAGGGCGTGTCTTTTCCTCCAATAATTGAAGGTTTAATAGCGAGCCTAGGGCAAACGCTGCACCAAGCATGAGTTTGCAATCATTTTTGTCAAAAGGGGTATGTATGCCATGGGTATATAATTTTAATATACCTACGTGTCCGGCCACAACCCTCATGACTCATTATTGGCATCCTGCATCGTACAACATGCCTGACGGAATGTGTTATTTTCGAAGTGAAGTGGTGCATGGTGCACATGCACATGAAACACCACAAGCTCAGAAAACATCAAAAGGCTCCCATCGGCCTCCGCCTCAAACTCTGCGTCCTGCTGCAATCAGCAACTCTGTACGACTGCTTCAAGGATGATGTCTGTCTACATCACGCCTGCCTGCTTACCGTAATTCTTTTCTATTGCTGCCATTCTGGCAATGATTCCAGGAGGGGCCCTGAAACACCCTACTTGGGACAAAACTCTGCACCACCTAGCTTGCAATTACCCACCCCACTGCAAGTACCAATGCTTCCCGTTCAAGTGGTGCAGGATTTTCACCAAGTCCTCCACATCAACAGTTTCAGCACGAACTGGACCGATGGGACTCCCTTTGGACGCAGCCTCGGCAAACGTCGAGCTTAGGGGAAATCATACTCTCCTCCGGGTGCACGAGCTCATGGGCCCATTGTGTTGTCCAACATGACCAAACAGGCAAATGAAAGGCACAAGTTCCACATTCTACGGAGCATCAGCACATCACGAGACCTGCTGCTTCAAGACTTCAAGATTCTGAATTCTGGTGAGACGAATCTGTGCTTTCCACCTGCGCTTGGCCTTCATAGCGCACAGTCACCGGATAAGTTCCTCAACAGCAATGTGAGTCATGTAGGATCGACACTGTTGGAAGGGCTTTAACCAAAAGCCAGGGGGGCATTGTAAAAAAAAGGACATGTGATGTACATACATGTGTATGTCAACCACAGGCAGCAAAATCAGCGTTGCATCAAATCAACATCGTTGGGCTCAGATGCTGCCGCATACGTTGATCACGGGCACGCGGGGTTCATCCCCGTCCACCAGGCCTTGGAGAGCCAAGTCTTCGATGTTTCGGGACGAATTTCGCCGAGGCACCGCCAAAGTAATCGGAAAATATGCTCTGTTGCATCGTTGCTGACCTGACATTGACTCACCACCGGACCAATCCATTGTAGACAACAGCTGCAATATAAGTTATCATTACACAGCAGAACGGCAATATGGTTTGAGATGGCCTCTAAAACACTGAGTCCTGGACATCAGCACGAGCTTCAGATCAGGTCGCCGATAGAGGAGCTCACGAAGGATTGTCAACAAAAAGTCAGTGTGAAGGCTCCTGAAATATAAAGTGTATATATATAATATCATGTAATATTACAGTAACGCGTATGCCATTTCGCAAAAGGGACGAAGCAAGCACATCAAGATGGACCTTGATTGAGATTGGCATTCATGTCCCTGATCGAGTGTGAGTGTCACCCGCTTGCCGACTATGTCCATGCCGCATGCCTTTCTACACATACAGGCTCCTTTCATGGACTTCGTCGAGCACAATGTGAGTGACCCTCAGTGGGACCACCAAATACTGCATCAAGCATGCAAGCCAAAGGGAAGCAAACACATTGAAAGCGATAATAAACACACTTAAGCACCAAAAAGAGAAACCAAACTAAAGCCAACATGTTAAAAGAAATCGGAAGTCCCGGATCCGCGATTTATTGTGATTGCGATGTGTGCAAGCATGCGCAAGCCAACTATTGTTCAGATGGCGATCCTACATCCAATTGGAGTCTCCAGGATTCCCGACCCTTCCAAGTCCGGTGATGCGTTCAAGCGATTCAGCAACACTCCCGTGGTGCAGAAGAGTAGCCGGGTATACCTGCCCCGTGTCTGTGCAGGGTGCAGCTCATTGGTTGGCGGATTGGGGTTCCGATTCTATTGGGTTTTTGGATGAACCGCCAGTGATAAAATGCGGGGAAGCCGAGAACTCCAAACAAAAAGACAAGACTTGTCCTAATTTAAGTCACCCGGTCGGATCAGGCATATGGGGCCGGCCCACAAACCAAGAAAAACTTGTTTCCCTAGAACTTTATAGAACTTTTGTATGTGGAAACCTCTGTTGTTCAATGTTGTTCATAGCTTTGAGGGCCTTAGGGTGTTCAAAAATGAGGCTCTGCGGCCTATGCATGTTAGTGCTCTCACGCTGCCTCACCTCTGCTGCAACTGGCCGTTTCAAGATGTTTGACCTTGTTTTTGTACACAAACCGGGGGGGTCCACGAGGGGAACTACCACGAGCACAACTTCAATCAGGATCAAAGAGGTAGAGTGATTGCCACCTCGCCATAATTACCTTGTGTGTTCACAACTCATTTCTCAAATTGAATTGCCTGGCCTGGTAGATCTAGAATCCAATCTGACGGCATAACCAACATGACCACCCACTGTCTCACCTGAAGCACACCAGCGCCGACAAATGCATAGTTTCATTGAGCATGTGATCTCCCAATTCCTACGGCCACAAATGCCATCTGAGTCATGAGGTGTGACGTCGTTGATTCATGCAGTATATCTGCCATGAATGTACCAACAGCCAGGCAAAGCACAAATTCACTCTGTGTTGGGCAATGTGCCAGCTGCCAGCTTGTACTGCGTGGCCTCGTTCTTCTGCCACTCGTGTGGCCACACCGACCGCTGCAATACGCCGCGGCCTTAGGATGCATGGCTTGTGATGTTCCAGACTTTTGGCAAACGTGAAGAAGCCAAAGCCTGCTTGGGGCCTGCCGGGGCTCCCGGCTTTGCACTCTCCATTAGCATTTATCGGGTGGGTCACAAACACGAGCATATCTACAGTATATTTACACGGGATCCGGCGTTGTCCTCTGAGTGGTCTGCGCTATGTGCGCATAGACTTCTTCATTTTCGGTGTCGGCAATTGCAAAACCCAAGCGAACAAACGAGCCGCAGAAGGAATGGACCTTCATATCGTTTCTGGCGGGCCAATGTTTGACATTCACACCGAGAGTCAGCAGAGCAAATAAATCAAAAAGCAAACAGTACGCCCCATCTGTCGAAATTTTCAAGCTCTACAGTGGGGAGGCCATGAAAGTGCACGGTCCAAAACTCAAAGGAACACACTCGCCGGACAAGTGCATGTCAATTCAGCGGCTCCCCCGTGTGGAACGCAAAAGTCAGAACTCAAAGTCACCGCACTGCCCTCCTTTTGACGGCGTCGTGGCTTGCTCATCTTGGCCCTCAGCCGGGCACAGCTCAGTCTTGCGCTTCGCGCTGTGGCTTTGGCTGCGCACGTTGTCAACATGTCATGTTGCAGCAGCAACCTGCTTGACGCTGTCGCCGAGTCAAGGTGCCAAAGACCCGTCGCCCATCCGAAGCATGCTGTGTGATTGGCTGATACCGGCGCAATTCATGACCTCCCTCAAGATTCAAAACGAAACACTAAAGCTTCGATCATCTTGTTTGGGTTTCCCTCCGCCGTTGGCCTTCTGTCTTTTCTTGTCACCTGCCACGAGCCTAAGTATATAGATGGAACCCCTCATGGGCCAAGCCTCTCAAGAAGCAAGTATGATGCTGGCAAAAAAAAAACGCAACGCACTTGAAAGGATGTTTTGCTTTGTGCTTGACTGCACACGCTGCGACTCGCAAGGGTTCTTTGTGGACGCGGACACCTGCTCTTTCCAGAGTTGCCTTGATGGACTTTCGGCAGCAACTGCAGAAAGTCGACCATGTCTGGGAATGGGGCCTGCAAAACTTGGTATTCTTCCGGTTCTCTGGGCGCATCCCTTGTCGTTAGTTTTTGGGAAAGGCGGGAGACTTTACGAGAACAGCTCGAAGAGCTTTGGGGCCATTCTGCGCTCTGCTATTGAGAACCTTGAACACACATGCCAATGGCCCAAGCGAGGCGCAGTCTCAAGTGGCAGCGGCAAAGTTAGTGTGGGCGTGCCTGCTCCTGCCATGAGGGGTGCCGATTGCTTTGGAATCAAAAAAAGCCAACGGCCAACGGCACATTCAATGCTTCCAGGCACGCAAAGAGGCGACAAAGGCGATGAGTTTCGAGAGTGTTGATTGGCAGGCGGCGACCTTCACGAATGACATCTAACCTACCAACAGAGGTTGAGTGGACTATCTGACCAAAACCACTTGTCGCATTTATAGATCGTCTATAAATCCTCTTCTGGTCCTTCTTATGTCAGCCAAGTCCTGCGACTGGCCTGGAGATGCAAAGGGCCTTTCGGAGCGGATATGTGGGCGCCTACATCTGTCAACGTGATAGGATCATTCGCGCAAAATTTGAGGACAGCAGCCTGGAAGGCAAGGAGCGCGGCTGTCGATTTGCACCACACGCCTGCGGAGTGCGCGCAACACACCTGGGCAACTTCAGAATCCATAACATTGCAATCATGAACGGCACGCAAGTCAAAGACCAAATTGCGCACTTCAAAGCTTGATCAGGCAACTCAAAATGTGGAACATTGCAAAGTTGCGAAAAGGCAAAATCTTGGAGTGAAGTGAGCGCAGCAAAGCTCGGGACATGATACTCCATTTTGCCCAGCGCCGCTCTGCCAGCGAAGCCCCGCCCCCCGGCACTCTTAATTAGATTCGTGAAGTTCGCCTTGGTACTTCCGCAGCCGTGGAAGATGCAATCTGCGCACTTAAGGCCAGCTTGCCTGGAAGAAAGGAGAAGTGATTGCTGAATCCAAGAGGCCAGTGTCGGCATCAATGATTGTGCGACCCGTGGCAGTTTAGCAGGCGGGCGGAAGGGGAGACATGACTGGCTGCAGCACCAGCAACAGCATCAAGGTCCTGTGCCACTGGAGTGCGTGGAGAAAACGAAACGGTGAGACTTATGAAATTGAGGGAAGAACTAAGCTACTAGGAGCAAAGGGCATCGCTACTAGGAGCAAGAAGCTACTATGAGAGAAGAACTACCTTCCGAGGCCTTGGCCGTGCAGTGGCGGCCGGCCAAAACCAACGACGCAAACAGCACACCATCTGGGTCGGAGCAGGGCTGTGGAGGGCTGTGCAATGTGCATGGCCTCAATGCCTCCCTCGCCATGCGCGGAAACACAACTGGAACCCGTTCGGGGAGAACGGCAACTCTGCGCACGCTGCGCACGCATGGTGTGCGACACGGGGTCTGATGGTTGGACCGAATGGTGGGTGCCCAGGGAGTGTTGGCGGGTCGGCCCGAGCTTTGTGCGACAACGAAGGAATGATGGGAGTCCAAGGCCTCAGGTGTTGAGTGGAACCTAATATGATCTACAGTAATATGTGTGTTTGTGTGCCCACAGTCAGTGCAGCCGAGGCGCTGGGTGCAAATAATTGACACGTCCCCACCTCTTCCTGTTGCAGATGCTGCCTCACATCATGCACTCAAAGGCTTTTCCCACTCCTGCCCGTTCCCGTTGATTTGAATTTGATGTGTTGTGCCGCTTGTCCCTTTCCGGCCTTTCTAGAATCACAAGATCGCATGGAACCCAAAAAGCACACTCACACAATGACAATGATTGTGAAGACGCTGTCACATCATGTCACATCCATGCTTTGCTGAAGCTGTGAGTGAACCTGTGCTGAGTTGGGCAATGTCAAGCACTCCAGCAACTACAAGCCTCCAAAATGAAGTTAGGGCATTGGGTGGTCTTGCCAGAGCCTGTCTCTCCAGCCACAACGACCTCAAAAACACAGAAAATATCCCCGCTGCTACCGACTATAGAAGTTCACCCCCTGATTTAATCCAGAAAATGGTTACTGTATACAAACGAAATGACTTTCACACACCAAAGGTCTGCACAAGTCCTTTAATCTGAAAAGGTCTGACACGTGTGAAAAAAAAACAGCGTTCTCACAATGTCATCTAAAACAACTGGCTAATTTGACACGTTTGCAAACCTGTCGCTGCCAACAATTTCATACAAGACCCACTTTAGATACCCTTAAACTAAATGAGTCTGCGAGTCGGAAACCAGGTCGCACAAACGAAGTGTACCAAGCAGCAAGCACTTCAAAGGCCCCTCCGAGACAAGCCATTAACTTGGCGATGTTTGGCTCAAGAGAGTGGTTTGCACTCACATGGGTTATGAGCCCAAATCCGGACGCGGGAAGTCCACCCAGTCGAGGACTGGTCGATGGCCGCCATGGACCGTCGCCGTGCAGCGTCGAAGGCGCGCAGGAGCGCGGATGAGCAGCTGGATGAGATGCTGGCAGAGCATCGAGCGAGGTCAGCGCCACCTCGAAGAGCACAGTCTTTGGAGCCGAGCACGAGCATGGCACCAGCCTTGAAGAGGACGGCGGCAACGCCAAAGCAGACTCCGGTAGCACCACGGGCTCAAGAGACTGCGCAGGTGCCGATCTTCCCTATGTTCGACTGGCACCGGAGCGAAATCTCAGGACCAGGAAGCTGGATCGGCTACTCGCTGTTCCTGGTGCGAAGAGGGCCTAGGGACATGTGAGTTTTTTGACCGGAACGACCTGACAGGTCCGGGGGGAGTGCGAGTCGGAACCAGGTCGCACAAACCAAGAAGTGTACCAACCACTTTCAAAGGCCCCTTCGAGACAAGCCATTAACTTGGCGATGTTTGGCTCAAGAGAAAAGGTCCGAGTGGTTTGCACTCACATGGAGTCTAGTAAAATGGGTTTTCCGTGGTCGACCACACTCATTTTAGCTAGCCGATAGCAACGGGGATCAGAAAACTGATTCATCACGCTGGGACAGCCAAAATAATCCACATCTTCCTTGGATAAGGTGAGGGCTTCCGACCTACACAGTTGTTGGTTCCTCTTGTCTGTTTCCTTGGGGGTTCTTTGGCTGCTTGCACAGAAGATGCCACTTGTTGCGCAGCCAAAGCTTCCAAGAACGGAGCTCGCACCTCACAGGATCCATCGATCATCGGTCTTCTTACGACAGGCAGTCATTTCTGACAGTATGGCATTTGGAGTGCCTTCGCTGGCACGTGCTAGTGACGAGACTTTAATATAGATTGGAGAAATTTCACCCCAAAGTTGCTGGCCTCTGCAGCTGGCAAATTGGAGCGAGATCGCAGCAAATCGCCGCGCTCCTCCCGTGACATCCAATGACGATCCAGTGTGTCATGAAACCTGGGGGCGTTTGCAAAGCTTGGGGGCGCTGTGTAACGAGGTCAAAAATATTTAGGTCATTCACCATCGGAGACATAAGTTGTGGCTCAAACTGCTGTCCACTGATGCGGAAATGCAAGGAACCAAAGTTCTCCTCATAAGCCTCCCAAGATTTCAGCAATTCTTCGCCTTAGATTCTCCACAACCATTTCTGAACAAAGCCGAGCCTCCATGAGAATGAAGCTGGACATATGTTTACCGGATGTGTTTTTGACGGCAGGTATGGTACTGACATGTACGGACTCATAATGGACTACGAATCTGGTAAAATGCTACGTATCATGTCAGCTTGCTTCTCCATGGCGCATGCGACCGTTTTCATCTTTTCATGCACCACAGGAATAGAATGTGCCAAAAAAACAAACACACACACAAACATAATATATATTATATATATATATACATACACTTCATCCAAACTGTGCTCCGATGCGTGAGCCATGAGCGGCTCAGCTGGCGCGCAAGCCAACCCCGTCCAAGCATTCCGAATGATGGTTTTCCAATGAGATCCAATGATCGACAACAAGCAGCAACCAACTGGATGCCTCCGGATACGAAATTGCTCTGACGTCTCCGGCTGATCGATTGCCGCTCTGCTTTCGTCAAAGGCGGGGCTGCAGAGACCGCCCTTTGTGCATACCTCAGCTAGCGGTGGGCCGCTAAGAAATGTGTATTGGAAAAAAAATGAAAAAGTCCAAAGCTCCTGAGCACACAGAACTGTCTGACATAGTGCCGCAATACAACAGGTAAACCAACAATGATGCTTGGCTAGGCCATTCACAACGAGCAAATTGCTTCAAATTGCGTTGTGCAACTGGCTCTTGTCAGTCAAAGGTGCGCAGCTCTCACTGCCTCTAGGTTTGGCATGGATGGAGCTGTCTGGCAAAATGTCGGAAGAAATAGACAACAAATTCGCGCGGGTTCGCCTGTCTTGGCAAATTGGTGTTGGCTTGATTCTGTATCTTTATTGATGTTTATTTGCAGTTTATCTGCTGACATGTGCCTACTATATATTGGGTGCTGTACAAATCCGGCAGCCGGCTGATGGCCACTGGCATACAAGCCCTTTATTCAGGCAAAACGAACGCCGTTGAGATGTAGGCACTTTTGTTCTGAAAGCTTCTGACTGCATGAATATAATTCCGAGAAGTATCGACTGAAGTATCGCTGCAACGTGTTGAGTTTTAGGCTGCCTATGATACAATTTGGAGTAGGCCGTCCTGGAGTACTTCCACCATCCCCATCTCAATGCTTCTAGAGCTTAGCCATGCTTAGCGGCAAAAGTGCCGCCTGCTGCCTTGGATCGCAGGCCTCCAAAGGCTTCTCTCCCGTCGTTTCCGGCCCTTGGCTCGCACTTGGCTCCTGCAAGTTGGCACGAGGTCTGCCGGTCTGGCATCTGAGATTTTGGAGTGCGCGAGTGGCTTCAATGCCATCCTCTCAGACTTCTAAAATCAACCATGCACTGTGTACTCGTACCACGTGTGCCTTTTCCGTGACCTCCTCGGGAACGTCTGAAGACGTGATCTCCCTCCAGTCATCGGGGAAGTCTGTTCAGTCAAAGATAATGTAAGAAATAATCCGTGTGCCTCATCGAAATGACCAAGACCGAGTTGTCAGCCAAATCTGCAGTCTTCTCCTAAGCTGAGACTTGGACAGGCTTGAGTCTGACGTGAGAAAGCTCGCAACAATGGATAGGATAGTTACTTGATGTTACTTGGACAGTTTCATGATGAGACGGCAGCCCTTGATTACAAACACCGGAAGCGACACACTTGCAGTATACTTGGCAATGCTTCAACGCAAAGACCTTCAACATACGGATCCGACATCTTATCTCAAGGCCTTTTCATCGCAGCTGCGAAGTGCGAGAGGAAGGCTCATTCAGCATTTAGCTCCCGACCAGCCACAGACACCGAAAAGGGCTTCCATGACCGCTTGTTTGGTCGTGCCATGAATTTCAGAACTTCATTGAGCTTTCCTTTGTAGGTTTCCATGGACAGCTTCTCCCGAATGATCGGCATTGCAGTAGAGACAGGTTGAATCACATAGTCTTTGGCTTGAATCACTGGAATGCTTGGATGCAATCGCTTTGCACTTTCCTCCTCTAACTTTGCGACACTCTCTTCTGTCTCGGCAGGTGGTCTCGGGATTGTGCCCACCTTCTCACCCATATCATCCAGGCTATCCGACTCTGGCGCCATAATCTGACGGAGCCAGCGCTGCACGAGGCCTTGTGCACGCTTGCGATTCGTCATGGTCTCCTCCGGGTGCGTCTGGAGCTGCGCAACGATGCGGCCCAACAGCGGCTCACCGGCTTTCCTCAGATCCTCTTTGGTGATGGGCAATCGCTCCATGCAGCGCAACAAAGCCGAACGCAAGTGGACCGAGGGCAAAGCTCCAGAGGGCAAATTCTGCAACCAAAGGGCTAGGACTCGACAACCTCCGTAGGCGATGAAGGCATGTGCAAATTGGTATTTTTCCATCACGTCGACGGCTTCGGGCAGGAACTCCAGCTTCTTGACCATAGGCCGACCTGCTCGGTATTCCTCTAAATCTGCAGCAGCTGCTGCTCCCATTCGCTTCACGACATTGTCGACATGCGCATGGGCATCTTCATCTTTGATGACGAGACCTTGTTGCTCCAAGTCAACTTTGGCAAACAAAAAGAAACATTAATTCGATGGCATTCTTTTGTTCATGCCCTGGCAGCCTCGCGGTCTTTTTCGGTTTGCATCAGCTTTGGCACGCAAGCGACCAATCCGTCTTGCCAAGACACCCCTGCGTGGCCTGATGGATTCCATGACCCTGTTCCACATTGTGGTAAGATCCACCTGCTCTTCTGCCTTAGGCGGCCAGGGTGAATTGTGAAATAAGATGAAATAAGTAAAAGAAACTGGGATTGGGCGGATTGGGTGCTCCTCTGATGCTTCCAAGCGTCAGGTGTTGATGCGTCCTGCATTTTCTTTCTCCGCCGCCTATGTGGACTCGTTGACCTGATGGCACGGGACAAGGAAAGCTTTTGACCAATCACGTTTCATCATCACTTGAGGCCGAGGGTAGGTGACGAAAGCTAGCAGGGGTGCATCCGGACTGGTGGGACATCAAGCGGAGTGAGGCAAATGCTCATGAGGTAAAACGTTGTGAACATGTAAGACACACAAACAGCAATGACACAGCCAACCTTAGAATTGAAGTCCCCGATAATTAAGGAAGCGTGGCTGGACTTTGCCACACTGTTCGATGCATCCGATGTGTTCACGAACCTGTGAGCTTGTTGAATCTGTTGCACCGTATCCCAAAACCTCCACGGAGGAGTTGAACCAGTGTGGATGCCATAAGAGGTGCCCAAGAGGTGTCCCAGAGGCAAAACAAAGCTGCTTGCATGATTTGTTTGGTTTCTTCTATCGATGTCGATGTCATGAACATGTGAGCTTGTTGAATCTGTTGCACCGTATCCTGGAGGAGTTAAGCCAAAGTGAATGCCATAAGAGATGCTCGAGAGGTGTCCCAGAGGCGTCCGAGGGGAGAGTTGAACCCACGGGGGGGGGGCCCCCCCCTACATATGAAGTTTTCACGTGATGCGGCGATCCCGAGGATTCCAGCCCCTCACTTGCTAAAGCAAGGACAACTCCAGCTAGCTGGTGCTAGCTTTCGTGATCTGCGCAACCCTGAGAGAGAACGAACGAGAGAGAGAGAGAGGCACACACACAAATATCAAACATGATGAAACAGTTAGCTGGTAGACTTCGAGACTTGGTCTAGCTCTTCGGGTGTTCTGCATAAAAGCACATGAAATAATACGAGTGTATCACGGCCAGAATTAGACCTCAGAGTCACCCATCAGGCCTCCGAATTGGCGTCGCAACCTTCCCAGTACTGCCGGGTGATTCGCCCTGCATGTCAATACCAAACTCGTTGAAGAGATCAAATTCCTGCAAAACCGGGCAGGGGTTTCTGTGGCCTTCACTCGTAGTTGCCAAACAAGGGAAAGTGAACAGCTAGCACGAGCTAGGCTTAGCAATTGCACAGGGATTTAAAAAAGAACAAGGGTCCCAATTTTCCTTGCATGAAGATGTGTAGGAATTTCCTGCGCATCTTCGTGCAAGGAAAGTGGGACCCTTGTTAGTGCAATGACACCTGTCCTCTTGCTCCACGACACCTCCAACTCCGTCGTCCATCGGATCGTCCGGAGTAATGTCGGAAAGCTCTTTGGCTTTGCGTTTCCCTTTCTTATCCTTCTTCTCCTTCTTCTTTGCCTCCAGGATGCTAGCAATGATGCTAGCATTATCACTCTCCAAGCATTCTATGGTGCCCACTTCCCAGTCCCATTCGTGAATGACTGGCCGTGGCTATCTTTCGCCTCATCAAGGCCAGGGGTGCGTTTAAATCCTCACCAAACCAATTGGAACTTCAGTTTATTGCTAGAGGACTCTCGGGCAAGCACACCGTGCATACAAATATCGGCATTGATGTAATTGATGTATATGCAATAACTCGGAGAATCTTCCGGACCAGTGTCATATCACATCATATCAATTCATATCACATATATACATAAGTTCACGATGTAAAGACCAAGGGGGTCGCCACCTTCTTGTCCTTCTTTCGTTGCTCTTCCTCGTCCAACGCGTCTGGGCCAAAAAGGTCGGCCATCGGATCCTGATTTTGAGACGGACGAGAGTCCGAGACGGACGGCCAAGGTCGCTCGGTCGGCCAGGGCAACACATCCTGCCCTTGTGGAAAACTGAAAGCGTAGTCGCGCGCACGTCACCACAGGATGAAGTGACTGAATGACATGGCAAATTTCCATAGATATCGCGGTCCAGGACTAGGTCCAGGGTGATTGACAATATACAGTGAAAGAAACCTGACCGACTCTGCTCTTGATGCACATAGATGAACCGCGAGTCAAACGGAAACACAGATTGAACCAAAACATGAATCACAAATCGAACGCCAGCCCCCCAAAAAAACGTAAATATATAAGCCGTCCTCAGCCCATTCCCCGGCCCCAAACACATCCAACAACCATGTCATTTCTCATCAGTGGTCACCGGCCCGGGAAAAGGTCAACAATTGTGAGTTCAACAAAATTACAATATATATATATATATATAGACATACCTGAGAAGGGGGGACGAAAGCCAGCCTCCGTAAGAAAAGATCAATATGGTCACGGGGGTGAACACGAAAGCGGATGGGAAGCGCTGGGAGGCATAAGTCGGGGCCGATATGACCGGCCCTCAGTCACAAGTGTGGGGCTGGGGTGCCCTTTTTCTTTTGGATGAAGGAGCGTTTTGAAGAGAACTAGACGACGGGTGGCCCGAGAGCGAGACATGTGATTGTCCAGCACTGTCGAAAAGTGACAGTGTGGATGTGCAGGTGCGATATGGATCTGTAGATGTGTGGAGGTGGGGAGGTAGGTTCGTTGATGTGAGCGTGCGAAGATGTAAATGTACAAAGGCGAGAGAACGATATGTAGAAAGAAAGAAAGAAAGAAAGACCGGACAGAAGTCCAGGAGCGACAGTGTGGATGTACAGATGTGATATAGATGTGTGTGGTGAGGTGGAGAGGTAGATCTGGGGATGCGAGCGTGTCAAGATGTAAATGTAGAGAGGTGAGGGGATGTAGACGGAGATGCGTCGACGCAACGGCAGCGCAACGTCAACCTTAGCTGTGCAAGTACAACGCTGAAGAAGTTCAAATAGAACTGAAGAACGTACATTTCACACTGAAGTTGCCGCCAACACTGCGACCTGAGAGCAAACGACGTTTCGATCATGACAAGTGACTCGTGCGTTCCAACTGCACATCGTTTGTCATGCAGGTGAAGTAGACACATATTAACGTCACGATCTCCGCAGAGGGTTGCGCCGGACACAACCAACTCGCACTCTCGCCTGCATTTCGCACCCTCGACACGCACGATCTCCGCAGAGGGTTGC